AGAGCCCAGTGGGCCATAGTGATGAGGCAGGATGAGGGGAAAGGATGCTCACCGTTGCTCACCTCTACAGCTGCTTCCTGCCATGTGGTCCAGAGCTGCTACCATAGTGGTCAGGTTCCATCCCCAGTGCCCCCACCTCCCTCCATGCCCATGAGCTGCATTCTCTCTCTCTACTGGGGGTGTCTTGGTAAAAGGAAGAGGACAGAGGGAAAGTGTTTGGAGGAGGAGGGGAACAGAGAGCGAAGACGCAGCAGGGACGGGGCTTGTGACTGTCCTCCCAGGACGCTGTAATACTCCTCTGTGACGAGCGTCACTATCAAAGGATAACACAGGCTGTATTCACACTTCCCACCCTTCACTCACGCTGTAGAGGAATCCTTCATTGACCTGTAGCGCATCCAACAGGAAGAAAACCCATTTAGATCTTAACAGTGCAGAGGCCAGCACAGCCTGGCATAGGTGCTGCCCATTGCCACCAGAAAGTGACATTAATCAAGTTGCTCTTTTCTACTAAGCCTACTGTGGCCTCAGAGCCTTTCCCGCCCCAGGGCTCCAGGCACCTCTAGGAATCCTCTGGCCCTGGTATTCAGGGTGATTCCTGTTTACCAGCCCTGCCTGACACTGTAGGAGAAAATAAAACATATGTAGGTAACCGAAATGCAAGGCAGACAGCAATAAATGATTTCTTAAAAACAGGCACATATAAAGTCCTCGAAGTAGCCAGAAGACAGATAGTCGGGGGGACTTCCAAGTGGAGGTGGTATTTGAGGTGAGCAGAATTTTGAAATCAGAAAAGGACTGTCATCAAAGTTATCAAAACTTGTAAAAAATTCGTTATCAAAAGCAAAGCTCTAAGAACAATTTCAGCTCCTGCGTCTACCTCTTAATGTGTTTTCTTCTGGATAATTTATAAGCAATTAAATGACATTTGAGATGGGAAAAATAGAAAATAGGAGAAATGTGTAATGACTGATTATGGAAACACTCCAGGTTTTCAGTACCATAGAAATAGTTTATTTAAGCTCAGTCTCTTCAGATTTCAGAAAACTGGTCATTTGTTTCTCTCTTCTGTTTGATAGCTGTTGCCATGTAGCTTTGATGAGCTTTTGTTTCCTATGGAACTCAGGGCAGTTAACAGTTCTGGATTCAGGTCACTGCTCTGTTGGCAAATGTAAGAACCGGACCCAGAGGTCAGGGCTCACAAGTGTTCTTGTTAGTCCTTTAGCTACCTTCAGTATATGCTCTCTTTTCATCGCAAAACAATTAAGACTAAATCTGGCATTCTCCGTTAATTCAAAGTGGAGCCAGAGCACATACATCATTTGACTTATGCCAAGGAAAACATACTGACTCAGAGAGATAAACACAAACAAGAAGATTATTTGTACAGCTTACTAGGGGAAAGATCAGAAAATAATCAGTTATGGGGGGAGGGTACAGCTCAGTGGTAGAGCGCATGCTTAGCTTACACAAGGTCCTGGGCTCAGTCCCCAGTATCTCCCCCTACCAAAACAAAACAAAACAAAAAAGAAAAGAATCGATTATGACCTCATCAGTGTGCAAGCACTCCTTTTGGTCTTTAAAACTAGAATGTTTTGTGTGAAAGGAGTTAAGAAGAGTCAGGGAAGATTTTAAAGACATGACACCTTAGTAAAAGGTGATTCCTGTCTCTGTCCTGTCTAAAGAACCAAAGAGGTAGCTTGCTTGCTTGGCAAGTGTAGTTAACTCAGGGAGTGGTCCTGACTCTTTTTTTTTTTTTTTATCTTTAAGACAGTTTAGGCTTTAGAAATGGAAGTGTCTCACTTTCCTAAAATACATAACTAAAAGAAATAGCATTATTTTAATCATTCTTGATTACAGAGATGGTCATAGGAGAATCTCTAAAAGGCCCCGAAGATGATTTTAAAGGTTAAAATCTGTGCTCAGGTAAAGTGAACACTCAGGTCCACGTGTCAGGAACCCTTACTTACTCTCATGGTGCCTTCTATGTAACACTCTTTGATTTGTTGCTGAGTATTTCTACACATGTCGGCAACATGATAATGGAAGCTTAGAATAATATCCTGAAGGCATTTCAATACCGTTAAGGATCACCTGAATCATCAAGATAAAATTATGCTTACTATAGTTTTAGCATTAAACACATATTGAAATTTTAATTCTCTCAAAGGTAGTCATCTGCAGTTGATACTCTATGAATACGAATATTGAATTAATCACAACAACCCGCTTCTTGACCATACCAGATGTTAAGGGAATTTGAGAGTTCCTAAAAGTTCTGTTTAGCCCCTCCCTACTATCCGCCTCCCTTTTCTCAGTGGGCTCTGTGCATCAAAGCTTTCGGGGCGTATAAACTCTCTAACTAAAATAGATCCTGAAAAAAGTATTTTTAAAAGCCCTGTCCTCATTCTTTACCTGCTGCCATCTCACACACACACACACACACACGATGGATTTTCCTTGTTATAAGTTCAGTCTACCCTTTCTTGTTATAATGACTTAGTAAAATGGTAATAAATCTTGAGCCTCTGACCTGACAAAAAGCTCCTACTCTCTGATTCAACTTTGAGTGATCATCCAGCCTGTTAGAAATACAATGTCTGTTCTTGAAATTAGCTATATAGTTAAAGGCAGAAAGAATAATGTTTTTATTACAGCTCTGTGCTTACTCATACTACTTTACATCTGTATATATTTTATAATTTATAATGAAAGTATTTTTGACATAGTATTTAGTAATCAAGTATCAGCTAGAAAAAAGAAATGGTTTAACAAATGCTAAATCAGATTTAGACAGTAAATTGGGGAATCACAAGTGATGGAGAGTCCAGTGTGTCGGTTTTGCCCCCTTTTCTTTAGAATGTCTTAAGAAACCTGCTCAGATATTTTTAAAAGCTGTAATGTTTGCTCAACTCTTTAAATTTAAAATAAAATCACTTTAACATATTTCATCCAGGTGTTTAATCAGGAAGGAGAATTCATATTGAAGTTTGGCTCAAATGGAGAAGGAAATGGGCAATTTAATGCTCCAACGGGCGTAGCGGTGGATTCAAACGGAAACATCATCGTAGCCGACTGGGGAAACAGTAGGATCCAGGTAGATGAAAACGCTGATTTGTTTGTTTAGAGTGATTGGTATTTGTTAAAAGTAAAGAACTGGCTATCCCCTTAACTGGAACGTTTCCCATTCCTTCATTGGTTAGGTAATAAGGCTGTAAATCTCACCGGAAGTACCAGACTCAGGAAAGCGGAGTAGAAAAAAGTCAACACGTTCCCAAACTGAAACCTTCTAACTCAGGGACTCTTAGCATGTATCCCACAGACCCAAAAAAGGTTTGTGGCGAGAATTCAAGAAGTCCACTGTACAAAAATATCACATTATTATTTTTACTAACTCTTTTTTTGAAAAATATTTTATTTATTATTTTATTATTTTATTTTGGCAGGTGGGGGGAGGGGAGGTAACTAGGCTTACTTATTTTCAGAGGTGGTACTGGGGATTGAACCCAGGACCTCATGCATGTTAAGCATGTGCTCTACCACTTGAGCTGTACCCTCCCCCTTATTTTTACTAACTTCTAACTGAAAATTATAATTTGCTTTAATTATGAATATAGGCAACAATCACAGCTTTAGTAAGACCTGTAACTTTGTCACCAAGAGAAATTACAGAAGTTTTCATATTACAGTTGCAGATATCTCAAATTATCATTTATATTCATGACTTTAAGGTCAGTCATTATGAGACCCATC